TCTCTCCCTCTATCCTTCCCCCTGCCAAAAAAAAAAAAAAAAAAAAAGGAAAAATTAAAAGGAACTTTTAAAATTAAAAAAGCAATACTGCTTTTTTAAAAATCTCCTTTCAGGGCACCAGTGTGGCTCAGCTGATCGAGTTCTGCCTTCACCTCAGGTCATGATCCCGAGGTCCTGGGAGGGAGCCTGACTCAGGGCTCCCTTGCTCAGTGGGGAGCCTGCTTCTCCCTTTCCCTCTGCCACTGCCCCTGCTTATGCTCTCTATCAAATAAATAAATAAAATCTTTGGGAAAAAAAAAAGTCTCTCTTCCCACCCAGTCTCCCGTTTTAAAGTTACCAGTTTAATTCCTAACCAAATTAACAACTACTTTCACTTCAAAGTTTGCAAAGACCCACATTTCAGCCTCACAAGTGAATTAAAAATCTCATCCCAGTAGGCAGCTGCCTGTCATCATCACTTTGCCTTCTAATGGTATTATATCAAGGGGAAAAACAGGATTCTTGACCTATTCAACAGAATCGTCCCCACTACACCACTGCAACTTTCCCCATCCCATTAAAGAGAGATGCACATATGTTAGAATGAGTAAGAAGAATGAGTTTTAAGAGACCTCAGGTTAGAATTTCTCTGCTTCTCCTCTAACAAAAGTGGCCATCCTCTTCCTTGCGTGCCTACCACTTCTACGCAGGAGCTATCAGCAGATCCAGTTCTGGTGTTACTAAAATAATCTCCAATAAATACCACCATCAGAAGAGGTGCTTTATTTTTCAATACTAAGAATTCATTTGTAAATCACTCTGAAAATGTAAAGCAATAGATGCACACAAAAAGATAAGCCTATAGTTTCAGATTCACAGACACGAGTTATTTTATGTGACTTACAACTGCAGAGAGTGTCTTCAAGATGTTGCAGTAGGGCACCAATTCCAGAACCTAAACTCACGCCCTTCACACGTAGATCAATTAACTATAACATAATACATGAGTCCTGAAATCTCTTCTAGGATCTCTGCCCCAGGAAAAGTCAATGAAAAAGCATTCAGCGAAAGACAAACTCTGAGTAAAAAGCAAGGTGTGAGTCAGGTCCAGACTAACAGGTTGTAAGACTGACTAAAACTCAACACGTGAGCAATCAACTACCCCCTACACACCTCAAAATCTGACACACTGCTCAATAAAGTCAGGATGCTAAACAAAGCCTAGAAGCTGGGAAATTCCTCTAATTCTGTAAAACACATGTGTTCTCTTCTGAGAGTTAGCAGGTAAAGCACTAACCCAAAACCCCAATAATTACTCCAAATTTCCCAAAAATCAACTTGCAACTGATAAAAAGAAGTTTCCCCAACTCAAAACAGGATCAACATTTATCACCTAAAGACCACACAATGTGAAGAGGGGAATCTGAGGTTGGGGTGGGAGGTAGGGAGTGCTGAAGCCTTAAGAGACCAGATTATGTGTCAAGCAAAAATGAAGAAATTACAAATTTTGTTTTGGAAGAACAAGATAATAATAGCAGCAAATAAAACCAGGTAACAATTATTATTAACTTACTCTATAGATGGCACTGTGCTGAATGATTTGCCATGTTATTGTATTTATTCCAAAAACCCTAAAGATACTATTATTAGTCTCCCTTTTCAGAGGAGACTCAGAGAACCCAAGATACTTGACTAAAGACACAAAGCTAGTTAACTAAATAAGAACCCAGAATTTCAAAAGCAGAGATTTGTTCATCCAAACTCAACATTTTATGGAGAAAAATAAAACTAAAGCCTTGAAAAGACTGAAAGATTAAGAGATTCCCCAGCATCACGTGAGTAGAGAGACCTAGAATCCAGATATGCGAAACTCTCTCCATTTCACTTGGTACAATGTTAAGATCATTTCCTAACTACAACTTACTCATCATTTAGTATTCTATTTACCAACAAAACTTGAAACATTTTTCAAAAAACTGTGAACAACAGAAACATTAACTCCACATATTTTACACTTTTATACACTTTATGATTTGCTAAATTCATTTTTAAAGAGGAAAAGGCACCTCAATTAAGCAATTATTGCCTTAATTTCCTATTTTGCAGCTCTTCATATGCATAAGTCCCAGTACATCTAAGGTTAAAGAAAGTCAAGACTAAAGACAAAGTCGTTTTTAAATTCTCCATTCCCCAATCTTCTGTATTTTTTCTGCTCAAGATTATATAAGAGAAAAATATATACTGAACACTAAAAAGTGTCATTTCAGAAGTCACTTCAGAAGAAGTAAATAAAGCCAATTTGTGTCATCCTGATCTCCTACAAGAACTGACTTCCACTTGTTAAGATTATTATCCTCCTGCCATCTCCTCTCCAATTACCACTGCTAGACAATCACAGCAGAATGAATTTTAATTTCCCAAGAGTCAGACAATAAATAGTGGTTCTATTAAGTGTAGATGATAAATAGTCACTTTAGCTCCATAGTTATAAGATTAATATAACAACAATAATGTCTGTAGTCTTTTTATACAGTAGGCATTGTTTTAAGCCCTTGACATAGATCAACTCATTTAATTTTCATCACAAGAGTATGTGGTACTGTGTATTTCCCCAGATTACAGATGGGGAAAATTGAGATACTGAGAGATTAAGTAATTTATCTAAGATTATACTGCAGCAAGTGGCAGAGTTGAGACTCCACCCAGGTGGACTGGCTTCTACCTCTGCAAAAGTCCCCTCAGAGTCAGAGTCTATTGCTCCCTTTCACTGGCTCCAGCTCATCTACCTCTCACACTCCCCTCCTTGCCTGCCTTCTCTCTATCCCAACTATCATATAACTTCCCCCATATTCACATACTCTCTCCCTACCACCAAGCCTATACAGCACTGTTATCAATTCTTCCCAAACTGACTTTTCCCCAATTCTGAATTCCCTTTGCATTTAAATGTGATACAAAATTATATACATAGACACTTACACTAATAGCCATCTTTAACTGAGCACACACTATGTGACACACAACAGTGCTAAGGACACTCCCATAATTCAAAAGATAATAAACAATGTGTGATCCCATCCCTTTTGTTGATGATTAAATGGAGACTCAGGGAAGCTGAATATTCTGGCAGTGTTCTCACAACCAATAAATGACAGAGCGAGATAAACACTTACGTTGACTCAAAGCTCACTTTTTCTCCATGTATACATATGTGTGTGTTTCTCATCCACACACGGCTCATTTACTTCTTTCCTACCATCTAGGACAGTACTATTCATAAAGGAGATGTTTCTTTAACAAAAGAATTCTAGAGAATCATTTTTTAAAACAGCAATTACTGTTATCTTAGCAGTTTCTAAAACTATTTTCCAAAAATAAAAGGTTCCAATACCTTAATTAAATAACTTACATATTTAAATACATTCAGATAGTCCCTCCTCCACAAAGGACCTAAGTATGTGTAGTTTAACCTTTCAAGTGACACTTTACTAATACTGGAACCCAGGATTCTTTTCTCACTCCTCACCACCACTGCCAGCCCCCCAAGTACAGTCTCCAAAGAAACGTTAAGCTATAAACTGTTTTGCTTTGCCATCAGTTAAAATCTCTCTTGGCCCTAGCGAAATAGCAGCAAGACAATATCCCTGATTCTGCAGCCTGCTAAACTTAAACCAATCTCACCTCTTACTCGGTGTGATTTTTTTTTTTTAAACCCACTTAATGAGCATGTGTAAATGCTCTACATAAACATCTCTTCCTGGACACAAAGGTTTTAGCAGTAGTTTTTAACCCCTTGAAATATTTTAACAGCAATCATTGCTCATTTAGTCAACGTGAAAGGTAACAATCACATTTATGTTAACAGTACTCTGTATTTTAATGTCACTCTAAACGTTAAGTGAAATGAAACAAGCCATTCATGTATCCCAGCTGATAACAGATGGATGAAACGGAAACCAGAAATCAATTCTTCACCGAGGCATCTTAACAGTATTCTTGATATATTGAGAATATCTTTGTTACTGTTATAAAGGAGTACCTTCGTTCTCTCCCAGCATATGCCACACCTTTTAGGTTGACAAAAGCAGAGAGACATCTGGGTTTCTCATTTTCAAAATCCCCGAAAAGATCACTCAAACCTCTTAACAAGAGCAAATCCTAAGAATGAAGAATTCCACCGCCCTCTTCTTTACCACAAGCTCTGACTTTCGCCTCTACCAACCAGAAAGAGCTGGGAGTGGAGGAGTGGGTAGTTGGAACAGATAGGGAAGGCACACCCGGGTCGGTCATCTCCTAGCCTGGCCCATCCCAAACTTCACCTTGGCAAAGCGAGAAGCAGGAAGGCACCAGGAATTCCTAGGAAATGGTCTCACCCCTATCGGAGAACATTCTTAACTTCCTCGAAGCCACCATTTCCCTCGGGCATTATCACACACTCCCACCCGGACATATTACCTAAGAGATTACTTAAAAGAAAAGCACAAACACACACAAAGAGAAACACACAGCTCGAAGCCGGCAGCTCGGGCTCAGCGTGCGCGGAGAAACCCGCAGACCACGCGGAGCCGCGGCCAAGTTGCTACCGCGATCTCACCGAAGGTGCAGGAGGCGGCCGCAGCGGCTGAAAGCCCAGCGCGAGGGGCTGCAGCCCCGCACCCGACGCCCCGAGACCCAGCCGCGGGGCAGGAAGCCGGGCGCGGCGGCGCAGCCTCCCGGGAGGCTCGGCCCGGACGGGAGCGATAAGGTGGATCGGCGCTTCCCACCCTGCCAGCTCCGCCCTCCCGGACACATTCCTGAGAAGCCCGACTCCCCGGACGCCGACCAGGGCGCCGGGCAGGCAGGAGCGCGGCGCCACGGCCGCAGGGCAGGAGGGCAGAGCCCGGCCCGCACCACCGCCCCCCCACTCGCCCCCGGCCCGCGCGGCGCCTCTGGGGCGGGGTCGCGGCAGCCGCCCCGCCACAGGTAGCGCCAGCCCCCGCCCGCCGCCGCCCCGGCGCCCCCGGCAGGCCCGCTCTAGGCACCTGGATGAACTGGATGGTGAGCGCCGACTTGCCCACGCCGCCTCCGCCGACCACCACGAGCCGGTACTTCTCCTGGCCGGAGCCGTCCCGCCAGCCGGCCGCGGCCATGGGGACGCCGCCGAGCCCGCCCGGCCACGCCAAGCCGCCGCCCGCCCTAGGCCCGGCTCCGGAGACGTGTGCGGCCGGCGGGCTGCGGGCGAGCGGCGGGCGGGGGTCCCGGGCGCCGGGAGCTGCCGGGAGGGCCGCTCCGGGCGGCAGCGCGGCGCCCGGGCTGGCCGGGTCCCGCCCGAGGCGCGGAGGAACGGGAGGACCGCAGGGACCAGGGGCGGCAGCGGCCGGGGGGCGCGCGCTCCTCCACACGTCTCCGCAGCGCTTGCCGAACGCTGCCTCCAGCGCCGCTACAAATGGCCGTCTGGGGGCCGGGCTGCGAGGCTGAGGTGCTGCATATGCATGAGGGGGCGGGGCGGGGCGGGGCCGCGCTGGCCTGGGCTGAGACTCCGGCGCTGACCCCTGGCGGCTCAGACCCCCGCGGACCCGCCCCTGGGGTCCCTCGACAGTGAGAGTGAGTTGAGGGAGCGCGGGAGTGACTGTGAGGGTGTAAGGTGTGGGAGTGAGATTCAGGCGCTGATAGAGGGCGACTCAGACCCCCGCGACCGGACCCCTCCGATCCATTGACAGTGAGTGTGTGTGTGTGTGTGTGTGTGTGTGTGTCTGTGCGCGGGTGTATACGCGCGCGTGCGCGTGTAGGAGGAGTGGGTGTCAAGTGGGAGCGGGAGGAAGACAGTAGACGGAGTGTGACCATAACTGTGCAATGTCAGGGATTGTCAGGGATTCCGTGGATGAAAAAATACAGTATGTGAAGGCGTTGTGAAAAATAGAGCTGTTGTCATCTTAACTCAGTTTTTGTAGGAGAGTAAATACCTGTTTTAAGAATACAGATGGTGACGGTGATTGTGTGAAAAATAGTGTGTGACAGTGATTGAGGATCAGAACTGTGTCACAGTAGTTGTGTGTGTGATGGGTTGCAGCGGGGAGGGTGGGGGAGGAACGTGACAGTGACTGAGTGAGCATGGGGGATGTCACAGTGATTGAGGGTGCATGGACGAGAGTAAATGGGACAGGTTTCGTATGTGTCAGGAGAGCATCCTAGTGGCTGCATTTGTGTGTGAGAAATATGTGGTCATTGTCTAGAGGAGTGTAAGTGAGAGGTTAGTTTGTAATTATGGACACAGTACATACCAGGCACTTACCCAGTGCTAGAGATCCTCTCCTGAACAAAGCCGCATCCCTGCCCTCAGAGAACTTATAGTCCAGTGGGGGAGACAGCCAGGACAACGACAAAATTATCAGGCATAATGATAAGCAGTGTACCTATTAAGCACCATGCAGCATGTGTGCCCATAGCAGAAGCATTCCCCCGAGAGTTGAGTGGTCAAGGAAGGCTTCCTAAAAGATCTGAAGAATAAATAATAGAGACAGGTGAATAATTAGAAGAAAGGTATTCCAGAGAAAGGAAAGTGCGTGTGCAAAAGTCAGACCTCAGAAGATAAGAATTATGTCATGTGATTTGGAATGTATTGGGGAAGTTTGCGTGCCAGTGATTGTGAGCCGAAAGGGATTATAGGGGCATCTGGGTGGTGTAATTGGTTAAGCCTCCAGCTCTTGGTTTCTGCTCAGGCCCTCATCTCAGGGCATTGGGATCGAGCCCCACCTTGGGCTCCCTGCTTAGTGGGGAGTCAGCTTGCCATTCTCTCTTCTCTTTGCTCTAACCCTCCTACTAGTTCTCTCTCTCTCTCTCTCTTTCTCTCAAATAAAGAAATAAATCTTTTTTTTTAAGTGATTATCTATATGTATGGCAGTTTAACCAACTGTAGCAGGAATCACAGCTCTATGTAGAGGTAGTATCAGGTAGTAGAAAAGGCCATAGGCTCTGGGGCCAAACTGTCTGGATTCAAATCCTAGCTCTTCCACTAATGTTGGGAACTGAAACTCTGTACCCCAAGTATTATCTTTCCTAAGGACAGTAAGGCTACTTACCGTAAGGGTTGTTTTGTTGCTGTTGTTGTTGTTTTTCAGCAAGAATCAAATGAGTTAATACCTAGAAGGCACATAAAACAGTGCCTGGCATGCAGTATGCTTCGATCGCAGTTTTGGAACACGAGGGCAAGTTCTTGGACACTACCTAGTGACTTCCTTGGAACCGACAGAATACAGCAGAAAAGATGCTATATAACTTCCAAGGCTAGGTCAGAAGAGGCCATGCAGCTTCCACCTGTTCTCATGGGATTCTCACTCTGGGAGAAACAAAGTAAGAAGTTTGGCTACCCTAAGACTCCCATGCTAGCAAGGCCACATGTAAGCATGCAAGTCAGAGGTCCAGCTGAGCTCCAGTAGACCTCCAGCATCAACTGCCAGCCTCGGGAGACATCTTGGATACCCAACACTGCCGAACCTTCCCCTGAAGGCAGTTGCTCCTGACCTCTGAGAGACCTGCATGAGAGACCCCAAACCAGCCCTTCCTGATCCACAGAATCATGAGCAAAATAAAGTAGTAAACTGGTTGTCCTTCTCTCACTTTTTCATTTGGAAATTACTTCCATGTGTAAAGTATAAAGTACACCCTTACACCACCTTTACCCAAATTCCACTACTGTGAACATGTTACCCCCCTATTTCTCTTTCATATATATATATATATACATATATATATTTCATATATAAATATATAAATTTATGGTTATATATCTGATTATATATAATCCATATATAAAAATGAATTTTTTGAACCATTTAAGGGTAAGTTACTGGCATTATGGCCCTTTGTCCCTAAGTACTTCAGTGTATATTTCCTAGGAATAGGGATACGATCTCATATAACTACAGTACAGTTATCAACTTTAGTAAATTTAGTACTAATATGAATATTTTTGTCTAATTAAATTGATATTCCAATTTTGCCAGTTGACTCAGTAATATGCTTTAGAGCATTTCCCCCCCCCCCCCCCCCAGCACGGGATCCAGCCCAGGGTCAAACAGGTATAAAATGGTTGTTTTAAACACCTATTTTTTTGCAGGAGGGGGAGCAAAATGTTTGTTACACAGCAGTCATAGCCAGAAAGGCCTCAATGACAGATATTATCATCAACATGAAAAGAAGGAGGAAAAGGAGAGAGAAAAGAAAGAGGAGACTCAAAGAAATGCTGAGAAAGTGCCAGTTAATCTTCCCACAAATGTCTCTCAATGTCTGCCTAGCCCTAAAATTTCCCATAATCCTTCAGGACCAAGATGACCAAAGTGTCCTGCTTATGTTCCTTGCCTTCTGAGGTTCCAGCCTATTTTCAGTAGAATCTATTTCAGTCCACCTCTTTGTGAGCTGCTTCTATGCCTGAGTCCTGACCAAGATTCTCTTTCCTTCCTACTCTGCACCACTACGATCCCTGTGTATAGGACAATTCCTGAAACCCATCCTATAGGAAATATGTGCCGGTTGCCTCCCAGTCATCCATTTCTCCCTACTGTCAAATAATACCTCCAAATTTCCCCTCTAGTTTATGAATGGCACCCACACCCAGCTACAAGGGTACACTCTAATTCTCTTAAGATTATCAACCTCCACTAGCCACAGTAATTAGCTGGAGGGTGGGTGGATAGCCTAGGTCAGGACAATCCGGAACTGATTCAACTGTGGCATCAAAACTACAATGAGATACCACTTCACACGCCCTAGGATCACAATGATAAAAAAGCCAGATAATAACAATTGTTGACAAGAATGTGGTGAAACTAGAACCCTCACACACTGCCGGTAAGAATGTAACACGGTGCTGCTGCTTTGGGAAACAGTCTGACATTTCCTCAAAAGGCTAAACATGGACTTAACTATATAACCCCTCAGTACAGATCCAAGATAAATTAAATCATATGCCCATACAAAAACTTGTATATGCAAGTTCATAGCAGCATATTCATACTAGCCAAAAAGTAGAAAGAACATGACTGTCCATCAACTGATGAGTGGTTAAACAAAATGTGCTATATTCATACAACAGAATTTTATTTGGCAATAAAAAAGGATGACATACTGATACTTGCTACAACATGGATGAACATTAAAACCATCATGCTAACTGGAAGAAGCCAGTTACAAAAGGGCACATATTATATAATTCCATTTATATGGAAGGTTCCAAGGAAGAAAATCCATAAAGGCAGAAAGTAGATTAATGGTTTCCAAGACTGAGGGGAAAATGCTGAGTGACTGATAATGGGTATGGGGTTTCTTTCTGGAGATAGGAACATAATCAGAGATTAGATAGTGAGGATGGTGGCACAACTCTGTAAATATACTAAAAACCATTGAATTATACACTTTTTTTTTAATTATACACTTTTTAAAGTGAATGTTATAGTATATGAATTAAACTTTAATAAAACCATGGGAAGAAAAGATTCAGTTCCAGGATTTTATCTGACCTATCAAGGAAATGGTTTTTTTTTTTTACTCCAAGGTGTCCCCTGTATCATCTCTATTCCTTTTTTTATTATTACTATTATTTGATTCAAAGTTGAGTGTGCAGCAAGCAAGAAGCTTACAGGCTCAACTCCACTGAGACTTCTATTCCAAAATGTTATCTTGCCCTTAGAAAATACTCCAAAAGCCTACACAAAAAGAAACCTCTACAAAAAGAAATCACTGATGGCATAGGAGAATATGGGAAAGAAAGAACTAGTTGTCATTCGGGCCAAATAAAGATGAATTTTCATCTTAATCTGGAAAGTTTCCTTCTCAAGTAGCTGGAATAAAATAGTGAAGTATGTAAATCTTTACAAAAAGAATGACCTACAAACTTGGAAAGAATGGTAGAGATCATTCCTCTTCCCCTACCAAAAGAAATCCTGTGACTAGGGAAAGAATTTCTTTCCCAATGTCACCTAGCACGTTGTTAGCAGGACACAGGTCTTCTGACTCCCCTGCTTAGAGCACTTTACCTCATGCCAAGCTGGGTGTTAACCAGTACCCCACAGAGCCTCACAGTACAGAGATGGTGTAATGCTACCAATCGAGAGACCTGTTGAATGCATCATTTTGGCTTAAGCTGAGTGACTGTCTAGCTAAAGGACTGTCAAGAAACTTCGACAGGCAGATTCAAGAGCTGATTTGGCCAGCAGATGTGTATTGGTGCATAACTCAATTTTTTAAATGGGATTACCAACATGTAATTGAGT